AAACCCTTAACCCTAAACAGCAACCCTGCCGCTGTCGGTGGACAGCCGCCAGTGGGGACATCCGACCCATGGCCCGGCTTCCACAAGCGAAAGGTGCAAAGCCAGGAAAACGTCCCGCATGCTCTGAAAGGGGTATATACTGTTCATACTGGGTTTAGGGGTTTAGGGGTTTAGGGTTTTAGGGCTTAGAGTTTAGGGGTTTAGGGTCTAGGGTTTAGGGTTTATAGTCCCCCTTAAGTAGATAGAACACGGCTTTTGATACATCATAGTAAGATCCCCATCTACCCCATATTCTATCTACTTAAGGGGGACTATAAATACTGTTGATACTGAAAATCCTGAATGACCCGAGTATACTACAGTACCATAATTCCCAAGGTTTAGGGTACTTCAGGTCATGCAGGATGTTTAATACCCACCGTAGGGCCGTGGGGATCTATAGGGTCCTAGGGTATACAAGGACAGATGGAGGGTAAATAGGGGTGTATAGGGACCTGCGGATGTGATTGTCAGGCAATGTTTGCTTTGCAATACCCCATTAGCTGGATGATGTGTTCATTGTGGTTTGAACTTTGATTGCCCATTAGACTATAGTAGTTACCATTTTCTTTTCCATAATCCCTATATAACCCTAATATATACCCCATTATGCATTCTATCTCTTCTTGTTGGGGCTCATGGATGATAATTTTGCCCGGATTTGTCGGCTTTCAACAACTTCATCCAAATCCAAACCCAGGCAAACCATCAATCCTAAACTCATGCTGGGATGTTGCCGACCCCTGTATAGGCTTATGTTCCTTCCATGTATTCCGGCAATGAAAATTCGTTGTCATGCAACCCCATTGATCCAGACATGAAACGAACGCAAGTGGTAGAAACCAATGAGAAGCCCGATGTTGGCTCAAGCCGCTATGGCTGCTACAGAACATGTTGCAATACAGCTGTGCCTCCGGGTGCCTGACTACCAAAACAAAACTCGTCTCATGCAAGGTGCCTGCTTAGTCGGCAAACACAAACCAAGAGAAAACAAACCTCAAACAACACAAAATTACAAAATCATGAGTATGAACAGCAGTCCACAAGAAACCAAACGCTAAAGGACAAATATGGTCAGCCAGAAAAACACCATGCCAGCTGGAGATGTCCTAGAAAACTGAAACCAGCACCTGAGCGTAAGTTTTGCCCGTGTCGCCCGCGCTGCAACGAAGGGATTCTCTTGCGAATCCCAAGCAAACTGGTAGTCTCGCTCGTACAAGTAATGCAATTGTTGAAATGAATGTTCATCGGCTTGCATTTGCACACGCGATTTGTTCACTGATTTGTGGGCATGCCATGCTTGAATGGACACCCATCACGGCATCCACATGCACAAGTACGCACAAGTACGCACACGCGTGCGTATGTGTGCGCGCACATACACGTATGCATGCGTGCACACACGTATGCATGCGTGCACAAACAAGATTGCATCCGCACACACACCCCTGTATGCCTGCACAGACACATGTAGCCATGAGGCAGACTTTAAACATGCGCCGTGTGCAGTGTACCCAGAAACGTTGCAGTTTTGAAAAGTGTGCGGTCATGGCTGCGTTGTTTCCTTCATCTTTTGTCTTCTCGCGCTTTTTGCGCACTCATGCTTGCACAGGCTTCCCGTCAGGATGCATGAGTGTGCACACACTGTGTCTCAACCTCCACTCGCGCACATACCCACGCATGTGCGCACACACACGTGTCTGCATGCGCGCACACACACACACACCTGCATGCACAAACACATGCAGGCAAAATAAAACCCGTAAACATGCGCCGTGCACAGCGTGTTTAAAAGTAAACATGTGCTCATGGGCTTGCGTCTGTACTCGGGGGCTTTTGGGTGTTCTCACATCTGTTATGCTTTAACAGGCTCCGGGCATCCAGGTGCCTGTGTTCGCACAAACCTGTATCAACAGGCACACTCACGTAGAGTCCCCCTTAAGTATATAGAATACGGCTTTGGGTATCTGAGAACAAGATCCTCATATATCCCATACTCTATCTACTCAAGGGGACCATATGTATGTACGGACACAAGCATGCATACACACATCCGTTTGCACGCTCCGACACACGCAAGAACAAAGGAATCTGCAAGCATGCGCAGAGAAAACTGGAATTGCGCACAGGCACGCATGTATGTGTGCCCATACGCACATGCATGCTTGTATGCCCACAAACATGCATGTTTGTGCACGCCAGTGTAAAGGCATCTGTCTGCACACGAGTGTATACGAGCCATGTAAGAATGTTTGTTTCCACCAAAATGCGGCAAGAAAGTACTCTGGGCAATCGTATGGCGATCCTAATGGCAGATCAGTTGTCCGGCCGCTCTGATGACGACATGCGCTTCAAACATTCATGAGAGCTCACACCATGGTCCGGAAACCCCTGGCGGGGACTGCGCAGTGGACATACCCAAACCACAGGTTAGCAGTAGACGAAACTCGGATCCCTATTATAACACCGGCACCTAAAATTTCGGGTGCCCAAAAAGGGACCATAATTTTGACCACCACCCACATGATTTGATGCACGTTGCTCAGCATGTGGCCAAGCTTGTTTGCTATGATCAGATTTGGTGCCATACCATCATCTGCTGGGATATACATGGCCCTTCTTCAACGATACTCCACAATGTCCTGTGTCCCTCGCTGCTTCTTTCCCTATTACATGCATGCCACGAAACCTGTACTTCGAAGGATGATGGACAAGATCCTCATTACGAAAGATGGGCAAAGACGCCAAACTGAGCCTAGATTTCAGGGCTCCTGCTCCTTGCCAACCATGGAGCCATTTTGACTCACAAATTGTTAAAACCACTCTTACACGTAATGGTACTTTGATCTTGTTGTTTTAACTCCGTGTTCAAGTCGCTGCACCAAGGGACATTTCAAATCAACCCTAAACCCAAAAGCCTGCAAAAAAATACCCCGCAGCGTTTGTCTGATCGATAGGTTGTAAACACACTGCGTGTACCCTCGTTGAACACAATCGCTCTTTTCAACATACATTGCGCACATGAACATGTATTTTCATGCTCAGTGAAAACGTGGTTTTGCGTTTGCAAAACCTAGGCTCTGCGCAACTGCATGTATTGTTCACCCCGCCGGAGTGGAGCATCCAAATGCCACGATCACACAGGTTTTGTCTGTGCAAAAGGGGTGTTTTCTTGGCTGGTGGAATCAAGTATGACCATATTCTTCACCAGACCCCAATGGAGAGGATAATCTTACTACATTGCAACTACAGTATCCGCAATTGAAATAACACTCGTAGGGGCTTGGAGCCCCAGATCCCAGCCCACTCTGGGACAAAACACTGCTGAGCCGTCGTTCACCGATGCCCAAGCAGTTTACTTGAACCCACGACTTGGGATTAAAGAGCCTTGGCAGGACTTGTGGCACGTGTTTACCAGCTATCTGAAACTGAGCTCTTGCCTTACAGCCGGTCCCTCTGTTTGGACGTTTTCACGCGGTTTAGGGTTTAGGGTTTAGGGTTTAGAGAGCCAATCCAGAAAACATCTACCAGCACAGGGGAGCGGTTACATTGCCGCTTGCGCGGAATGCCTTCCTTCTAAGCTTGTGATTGGTCACGTGAGAAGGTTTTTCCACACGGCCTTGCATGCAATCCCCCATGTGTTCAATGCAGTGGCCGAAAGAATTAGAATATGGTTTTGCTTTCATTCTGTATGCTACTTTACTTGCCATTGTACTCATGATTGTTTTCAAGTGGTTGTATATGGATCAGAAAGCCCTAAACCCTAAACCTTAAAACCCTAAGGGTTGTAAAATATATGTAGATCCAAAAGGGAAGGCATTTTGGGTATAGAGCTGAGGCTCAGAATTTGGGCTGCTGTTTAGGCTTCAGATGAACAGTTCGGGCTTCAGCTTCTTTA